CACCAAGCCAGGCTGCACCCCACTGTGCCCATCGGATTCCTGACAACACCATCGGGGTGCCTCACGCGGGCGTGTGCTGTGGACTGAGATGCCCGGCTCCAGAAATAAAATTTTAAAAAAGGAACAGAAGGAACTGGGTAAGGCGAAGGCCAGGTTTGCCTTTGTTTCCTGCCGGCTGTAGGACAGGCAGGAGCCGAGAGGCCTGAGTCGGGGCCCCACGCCCCAAAGAGCAGGCCGGCGCCTCTGTGCCCCTCAGCCGTGGCCTCCCCAACCAGGGACAGAGGACCGCGCTCCAGTTAGGATTCTCACCACCCTGGTCCTTCCAAGCAGGAAAAAAATAAAGGCCGCACGCGTTGGGCCCGCGCTGTCCACCAAGGGTCCCCGTGGCAGGGGCGGCTCCGCACTGCTAGTTTTTATTTGAGCTGAAATCAAACAAGTCTGAGTCGTGGGGGCCATGCCCAGGGTACCCTGGTCCCCCCCCAAAAAATAATAAAAAATGAAAAGGGAAGCTGTGTCAGGAGACATTTACACTCATGTGCAGGGGGGACGTGTCCAGTGATTTTAAAATGCGGCCCTTTCTGTTTCTATCGCTTCTACCAGAAGAAAACCTTGGAAGCAACAGGAAGGGAAGGGAGACGGGCCTGCAGTACGTGCCTGTCATCCCGGCAAGCCGGGAGGCTGAGGCAGGAGGGTGTCAAGTGCCAACCCAGCCCAGGGAACTTAGGAAGAGCTGGTCTCAAAATTTAAAAATACAAAATAAAGGGCTGGGGACATCACATAATGTGTAGGTCCTGGGTTCAAATCCAGGACATGACACTCCCCACCCCTCCCCCCAAAAGAAACAATCCAGGGGCCTTCAGAGTCCAGCGTCAGGTGACAAACCAGACACCTCCACCCACACGTGCTCACACTCTTGAGAGACGGGCCGCAGCTTCTGTGACCGTCTGTCTTCTTGGCGACAGGGAACAGAATGAAGGAGTAAGGAGACAACAGGGCCAAGGCCAGCTCCGGGGAGCCCCAAGCCTGTCTTTAATTATTGTGGAAAGCGAGCCCCGCCGCCTGCCCGCCCACCCGGTTCCCGCACACTCTGCCTTGCCAGGGGTGGACCGCAGGCCGCAGCACAAACTCCAGCGACCTTGGCGGTGGGGTGGCCCGACCCCGCACACCGGTGGGCCGGGACGCGGGACCCGCCAGGCTGGGCCTCATACCTCCCAGCCCTCGGCCAGCGGGGACTGGCTGGCTTCAACCGGGCCACCCTCGCTCCGGCTCCGAGGGCGCCCTGGCACCTTGCACCACGCCCTGGTTTTGGCAAAGACCCCCACCCCAGCCCACCCCACCCCACTGCCCAGGCGCGGCCGGGCCCCACGACATGCAGGGCGGAGGTCCGAATGCCCTCGCGCCCTCTTTAAATCTGTGCTATTTACAGTATTGCACTTGGCTAACGCCCCACCCTGCCCCGGCCTCCAGCCTCCTCCATGCCCGGCCGCCGGCACCCGAAAGTCCCCTGCGCCTGACCGGTGCTGAGCCACACAACCCAAAGATGCCAAGGAAATCAGTGTCCACTCGGGAGGCCCCCGAGGCGGCTGCCAAAGCCGTCTGGGCACCCACTGCAGGGCCCCAGGAATTGCGATGTGGCCTGGGGCACTTGGCACTGGGGACTTCCGTGTGTGTGTGTGCACGTGTGTACACATGTGTGCACGCGTGTACGTGTGTGGGGGCGTGGGGACCCGGGTGTCCTCAGAGCCCGGGTGCGGGGGATCCTCTTCCCAGCCCTCCCTCTCCGACTGGCTCACGAGCCTCGGGCATTTGCTTATTGCTGCACTGGGGACGGGCAGAGGAAGGGGGCCGACGGCCGCGTCCCCTCTTGCTCCTCCCGGTGGCGGCGGGCGTGCGCGCCGCCTTCAGAGCCGAGCGCTCCTCAGCAACCCGGTTCCCGGCGCCGCAAAGCTCTCCTCCCGCGGAGACCAGCCCCAGGGCGCAGCTGTCCGTGTTCTAGGTTCTGGGCTCTTCCAGAGCCGGGTGGGTAGCCGCATGCACAGGCTGGGGACCCCCTGCCAGCGGCGGCAGAAGGGGAGCGGCGCCCGGGGTCCTGCAGGCGGCACGCGTCCCGGGGTGCGTGCAAAGGCCCGGGGGTCTCCTGGAGGGTCTGGCGGCCAGGTGCATGCGCAGCCCGGGGCAGGGGACCCGCCCGGCTCGGGGCCCTGTGTCCCCCTCCCCCTCCTCCTCC